GCGTGATTGATTCAAATAATGAAAGAACAGGGGAAAAAAATCTAATACTTTTAACATAGTTCTAAAGGATAAATTACACTTATTTTTCGGGGCCAAATTTTATGTGTTTGATTACACGAAAATCTTAGCATATATAAAAGATAAAGATATTTATAAGATAAAGAAAAGAAGGAAATATATATAAATATAATTTTACTCCATTTTCTCTATTCTAATTCGAGTTAACTGGACTATTAATTGATTACCTTGATTAAATGATTGGGTAATATTGTTCCAAGAATTCATTGATCTTGCTTAATGATTATTCTAACTGATTTAATAACGTGCATTTGTTTCTCTAGATCTGATATCAGATCAATCTGTTCGTTTAAGTAAATGAGCAAGAGTTAATTTTGTAATTACCCAAAACGAAAAACCCAACGAAAATGCGTACTTAGATACATATAGAGAGTGTGCGTGTGTCAACGAGACATATGTTTTGCTTTAAACAAAGCCATGTGCTGAAAATGTAATAGATTTACCATATTACTTCACATGATGGACATCGGTGAAAAAATAATAATACTTTATCTACCAGTAAACTACAGTCTGGTTGAGTGTTTCCGAAAAATATTACATGAAATAATCATTAAGAGACATATGTTAGTATATAACCAAGAATGTATACTCAAAGCTATGTTCTTAGTAAAACGCATACAATGTTCTGATTTTATTAACAGTTTTCAATATCTTTTAATCTATTTTGCTTTCTTTGTTTTACTGTTTGATTACTTAATTTTCTATATCCCAATGCTTTGTTGACTACGTTAATGATGAACTATATTATACCATATTTTGAAAGAAAATGACGATGTTGACAACATATAACTGATAACAGCATTCCATTTTACATAATACATTATCTAAATGGCTAAAGGATATTTTGGATTCTACTTGAATTATGCCCTAAGAGGTAGAATGTTTGTTCAGAAGAGCGTGTTTTGACGTCCAACAATATTACAACATTTCTATAACGAAGTAAAATATCATGAAATATCGAGTAATTTATACAACATAATCTGTATAAAATAAAATGTATAGATAGTTTGTTACCTAGAGTTCGTTCCATTCCCGCTTGCTCGTGTAATTAATCTGTTCATTAAATGTTTACAAACATAGAATGACAAGGTTCATCTGGAAATCTTTCGGTTTATTCGTCTAACTTTGTTATATAATACATTATCTCTTTACTATACTTCTGCTTTAAAAGGCCTATGTAACACAATATGTACCTCCTGATTTACTTGGAAACACACAATATTCCACATTATGGTTACAAAGTTCGTGCTCTGAAGTTAATAAACTCTAAAGCATAAAGTCGTTTCTACGTTTTCTTCTCACTTTATTATTGTAATTTTTCAAATCTGTCGTCTTTAATTAAATGGTTAAATATTTTGCCAGTTAAACACTTGCAAAATTGAAAAAAAAAAGTTTTATGTAAAAAAAAAGTATTAAGAAGTAAGTTATATTTGTTTCGTCACAAACTTCAGTGGCGAACACTATAATGTTTACAAACCGGAAGAATATATACTTACACTCAAACCATAAAAACTCTGCTAGATAATCTACCAATAACCGGCCATTTTTATTGTTTGCAGAAGTTGCAATAAGGCCCGGAAGCGTATACTGGTGTATAGAATATACCTCTTCCCTCAACACTTATGGGTTCAGATTCTATTATACCAATATAGAGTATACTTGTTCCCTCAACATATATAACTTAAGGTGCAATGTTACTAGTGTTTAGAGTACACTTGTTCCCTCAACATATATAGCTTAAGGTTCAATGTTACTAGTGTTTAGAGTACACTTGTTCCCTCAATATATATAGCTTAAGGTGCAATGTTACTAGTGTTTAGAGTACACTTGTTCCCTCAATATATATAGCTTAAGGTGCAATGTTACTAGTGTTTAGAGTACACTTGTTCTCTCAACCTATATAACTCAAGGTTCAATGTTACTAGTGTTTAGATTACACTTGTTCCCTCAACCTATATAACTTAAGGTTCAATGTTACTAGTGTTTAGAGTACACTTGTTCTCTCAACATATATAGCTTAAGGTTCAATGTTACTAGTGTTTAGAGTATATTTGTTCCCTCAACATATATAACTTAAGGTTCAATGTTACTAGTGTTTAGAGTACACTTGTTCCCTCAACCTATATAGCTTAAGGTTTAATGTTACTAGTGTTTATAGTATACTTGTTCCCTCAACATATATAACTTAAGGTTCAATGTTACTAGTGTTTAGAGTACACTTGTTCCCTCAACCTATATAGCTTAAGGTTTAATGTTACTAGTGTTTAGAGTATACTTGTTCCCTCAACATATATAACTTAAGGTTTAATGTTACTAGTGTTTAGAGTATACTTGTTCCCTCAACATATATAACTTAAGGTTTAATGTTACTAGTGTTTAGAGTACACTTGTTCCCTCAACGAATATGGGCTTAGATTCCAGTTTTTTGTTGTTTAAATCGACTTACTTGTAAATCATTGTTTAGAAATTAAATGTATATCTAGACAAACCATTTTGTTCTTGTGTTTCTAAAAAGTTAAATTCTTATTTGGCTACTGTGTGTATTGACTACACTGTTAACTGATTAGGCGTAATTATTAGTATCATTATGCTTTAATAACGTTATTTCTAAATCAATAACTAAATCTCCAAGACATAAAGACACTGATTTGGAAAACTACAAAATCTCCCAGACGTAGAGACATTGATTTGGAAAAACCACAAAATCTCCATGACGTAGAGACATTGATTTGTAAAACTACAAAATCCCCAAGACATAGGGGCACTGGTTTGGAAAACTAGAAAATATCCAAGATGTAGGGTCACTGATTTGCAAAATTACAAAATCTCTAAGACGTAGGAAAACTACCACCATTACATGGTGAAATGCAATTAATTTTGCAGATTTTTTCAGGAAACTAGCCCGCAAATTAAATATCCATCTAAATTATTTACAGTTTGCTATCAATATTGGTTTATTCCTAAAAACTACAGTGGCATTATGTAGATATGAAGTACGATTTAGTAATTCCGAAAATGTTAGAAGAAAGTACTATACCTTATTTCGTGACGAGTTGGTGTTATAGAGTGTGATAATTGTATTACAATGTAGTTGTACTGATAATATATATTAAAATCTCAAAGGTCCACAACTAAACGATCAAATATATTTACTTACACTTTCAATACCTTATATGCTTTTTTACAATTATGACAAACTGTAAATTTTTGAGACTTCTGCACATTATTGTGGAATAGAAATTTTAACTTGTGGGTTTTTGATTTAAACACAGAACACTTGACAAATTTCTGTAAGATTCAGGTAATTGTTATATCAAGACTGATGTGAAACCATAGTTCGGTGAAACGACAAAAGAAACATTAAAATATTATTGTTCTGTTTTTTATGTGTGTTTGTTTGTTTG